TTATGGTTGGGATCCATTGCTGGTGTGCCCCTTTGGGGGTGTCCTTTCACTCTGATTTTTCATACTTACAGTGTTCTTATGCTGATTCCTCCTCATCTGGAGTGGCTGTCACTTCTTGTTTCTGTATTTTCTTTGGTTTAGACGGGACTTTCCCTACCCCACACTTGTAAGGGTGTGTCTATATATATGTTGGGTAAGAACCTTTGGCTTTGCTTCTGGGTGCTTTGATGGTGATCTAGGTTCTGGATGGATGCCTTGATTATAGGCATTCTTAGTGTGGTGGTTTTCTTATTTGCTAGTTGTTTGTAGGCTGCAGTAGTATGAGCAGATTCCTTGTCTCTCTTTGATAAGGGAGTATGGAGGTCTTTGAAATCCTTTCTTTCCCCAGCCGTGTAATCTTCATAACAGTGTGAATTGTGTTGGCATACCCAGTTTAATCTCTGAGACAGTAGATGATGCTTGTGGGTAAGAATCAGCCATGCCCTGTAAGATTGAGTCAGTAAATGCTGTGAAGGGCATGCAAACTGACCTGTCAGTAGGTGGCCCTTGCTTGAGGGAACAAGCTGCAGTGCTGTTTCTGGGACCTGTGACCAACTCTAGCCTCTCAGGAGAAGCACTCTAGTTGCCCCAGATGGTGGGTGGGGTCCTGGAACTTTCAGGTGTGTCCTTATTCTCCATCACAGGAGTGAGCCTGCCTTCAGGCTCCACAAAGGCTGGCAATTGAGCTGTCTAGCCAGGGGTCACAGGCTGCTGGGGAAAGCCACCAGGGTGGGGCTGATGTGGCTGCACCCAGCCAGAAAGTCTGCTCATGGGGATGGGGTTGTCTGAGATTCAGTCTCTGTGAGGAGTAGGTTTCACTCTTCTTCCCCATCTCCTGCCCCAAGGTCTCCTTCAAGTGTCTGGCCACAGGGAGGAGCTCAAACTAGCTGAGCCCCACTGCACTGGGGCTGCAACTGGGAGTGTCCCTGTCCAGGATTCCACCCTGGGCTGAGAGCAGGGCCTTCCTCTGTGGCAACGGGTGCTCCATGAGTGTACTGTGGCTGGGACCCACACTGTGCTCTCTCTTCAGTTCTGCCTGATCGAGTGCTGGGAGTATGGGATCTGGCCTGTGGGCCTGTCCCTGGGTCCCCCAAGTTCAATCCCTAACCATGCCAGGGAGAAGCATGCTGATCCTGAGTTGCCTGTGGAGTGTTCAACCAGGTTTGATGTCCCTCAGCTTCGGGGTGTGTCCTGCTCTGCTGGAGCAGCCAGGCAGCAGCACTGGGGAGGGCTGGTGGGCAAGGAGTTCACAGTCTAAGCAGCCCTTGGTCCACTGCTGGTCTTTGAGAAGAAAAGTGTGAGCCCCACTCTGTGGGAGCCTTGGTGTAGTGGATGCACCAACAGAGGGGAAGCAGCTGCTCCTGAGAGTCTAAGCTCAGTCATCCCTCTCGGTAGCAATTGGTGGGAAGGAGTGAGGGGGGAAAGAGTCTGGATGGAAGAAAGCTAGCACTCTGGTCTTCTCTGTCCCTCTCTCCCTGGAAGGCAACCACCTGGAATGTCCAAGATCTGGGATCCCACAGATCTCCTGGGACCCACTGGCCCCTATGGCTCCTGCACTCTGGGCCAGAGTTGGGAAATGTTTGTGTTGGAATGAGCGACATGAGAACTGAAGGGCTGAACCTCCCTGAGGAGGACAAAGGCACACAGTGGGTGAGAAGCAGTTGGCACCCACCATCTTGGCTCAGGTCTGCGGTGACGGGAAGTGCCCCAAGGGGCCTAAAAGCCTGGTGCTTTGTCCTCAAGAAGCTCCCAGTTCACTGGCAGCAGCCACTTTTGGGCTCACGAGGGTAGAAAGGCTCTCCAGCAGCTTAGGAGCCTGCTGACTGCCAGGGAGGTGAGGGAGGGAGAAACAAAACCTCCACCTACCCTTTCCACCAGCCTCCAGGCCTCTGGGGAGTTGATCTTGCCAATATCTTGCTCCTTCTTGTTCTGCTCTGCAACTTCTTCCCATGGAATCTCTGGTAGGTTCTGGCACATTTCCCTCAGAATTACACTTGTTCTATGTTTTTTTTTTTTTTTTTTTTTTATCTAAAACTTTCCCTTCTTTCTGAGACAATCTGGCAGCTGATGTCTCTGGTCAGCCATCTTCAGAAGTCCCCTCACCTCTGCTTTTTTTCTTTCCATCAAATTCTGTTCTCTCCTCTTTATCTATGTGGCTATCGCCTTCTCTCTGTCCTACATAGGTCACAGCCTGTTCTCCTTGATGATCTCAGAAAACAAGGATTTTGCCTGTAGCATTGCTTCTTCTATAATGTAGGGATCTCAGAGAAGACCACATCAAGCCCCACAAAGTAAACAACTTTAATTTTCTTATCAGTCATTCCTGTTACCTTCCATGGAGGACTTCTTAACTTGCTGTAATACCTCGTATGATTCTTCATAAACTTGCTGAGTGCACTTTCTACTCCATCCTTACGTCTTTGAGTGTGTGTTCCCTCTGTTCTTTCCTTCTCTGATGCAAAAATAAGTTTATCGCATTTTCTTAAACAAAGCAATCCAGTTATCTCTTCATTTGCCTTCCATTCATTCAGGTCACTGCTCAAATGTTACTTCTCCTGGGAGGTGCTCTTTGGCCATGTTATCACACTAACACCCTTGATTTTCTTTACAGCCTTCAACAAAGAACTTCCCTAGAGAAAGATCAATCTCTCTCTAACAAAATTATGGTGGCAGCTTTTAAGATAATAAAATACTTGCCTTTGTTACAAACAAAATAATATATTAAAAGAATATTTCATATCCACGTATTTTATAGCCCAGAAATGTAATCATTCAGCATAAGGAAATCTTTAATATACCACTTTAATACCTTAAAGAAACCTTGTGATGATTTCAGTATGTATGAAAAGGCGTTTCGTAAGTTGCAATATTGACTCATAACAAACACCTTTTTTAAAAAACAGTCCTAGGAAGTATGTTTCCTTAAAACTTAAGTGTGGCCATTTAAAGTTAAGAGCCCAAACGGGACAAAGTCATTTCATATTTTCCATAACCAAACTGCCCACACTGTCCTGCTCATCCTGCCTCCTCAAATCTTCAAACCCACCCTTTATCCCCCTTCCCTTTGTTTCAGATCAGGCCCACAGTAACGCTTACCTGGATTATAACAAAAGCAGGTCCCCAACTTCTGCCCATGTCCCAAGATCATCATTCATACTGCCACCAGAGTCATCTTTCCAAAACACAATCTGATCATGTCTTATCCATCTTTAAAAATTTCCCACAGCTTTCATGTCAAAAGGTCAAAATAGATGAGCGTAATTTGGGATGTTCCCATGGAAAGCCAGCTAGTTGGCTGCTAAGAGGCCATATAACGTAACATTTCCTTGATAAATTCCCCTTGGCTCAGAATCTGGCTTTTAGCCTTGCACGTCCAGAAACTTAATCTTGTCCATTCTTCAGGCTGATCAGTCTTTGGAAGTCTGAGTGATGTTAGCTAAATCAAGTTGTTTAATTCCTGGATTCTGGTAGCTTACTTCCTGATTAAGCAGCTCTGAGTCTCCAAAAGCAATACCAAATTCATCTCATCTTCTCATACAATGCACTTTAATCATCTCTGCTATGGCTTTCCCATCATCTAGGTCTCTGCTCAAGTGTTACTCCCCTCAGAGGTTTTCTATGATCAATATTATCAAAATAGCATTCTTTCTCAGTTTCCAAACCAGTAGCTGCCATTCCATACCCTCACCCAAGCCCCAAGTTTTCTGTCTCTGCCTGACTGCTGCCATCAGGGGCCTCACCGGACCTCTTGAGGCCAAGCATGCCATGACTATGTTTGAACTTGGCATCAGAATTCCAATTGGAACCTCGAGTTCAGTTGGTCCCACCAAGCCTCGCAGCTGGATCATCTCCGGCTGCCACACAGGCTGTATGCCTCTCTGGTCATCTGTCTTCTCATATGTTGACTCCATAATAGCACTTTGAGAGAGCAGGGAGGGAAAACTAGAATGAAGTGTATAAAAATGTTATTTGACTATCCAGTATTATTTTCTTCTTTTGAGTGATGTTTGAAGATTTGTGTCTGATGGAATTTTGTTGGGAGAAGGCAGTTCTTCTGTTGCTAGTAGTTAGAATGTCTTCTATGCTTTCTTTGTGACTATGTAGCAGATGTCATATGAAGATTAGTGTATTAGATGCAAACTGTCACTGAGCACACTTAGTAAAAATAAGCTTGAAGAGAAGACAGTATTTGTTAGGCGCTCACAAGTGTACTATAAGAATTATAAGTGTGAAAGAAGTTACAGGTTATTCTTGTACTTTTTAATTTATTTTTATTTTTTTTGGAGACAGAGTCTCGCTGTGTTGCCCAGGCTAGAGTGCCGTGGTGTCAGCCTAGCTCACAGCAACCTCAAACTCCTGGGCTTAAGCAATCTTTCTGCCTCAGCCTCCCGAGTAGCTGGGACTACAGGCATGCGCCACCATGCCCGGCTAATTTTTTCTATATATTTTTAGTTGTCCAGCTAATTTCTTTCTATTTTTAGTAAAGACAGGGTCTCACTCCTGCTCAGGCTGGTCTCGAACTCCTGATCTCGAGTGATCCTCCTGCCTCAGCCTCCCAGAGTGCTAGGATTACAGGAGAATTCTTGCACTTTGATAAGTTCTAAGAACCGTGCTGATTCAGGATAAGGGTTATAAGGTGGTGGGGGGTTGGGAGGAGAGGAAAAAGGAAACCCGTATTGAGGCTATCAAATGAAGGAAATTCCTTATATCCCACAGCTCCTGGGAATGCCTAATTCGATGTACTTTTACAAATTCTTTCCTTTCTTACCTCTAACCCTGCAGAATCCAGGACAGTCATACCCCTTAAGCATAGATTCATGATATTCTACATCTGACATGATGTAGATCCAGACCCATCATGTCAGAGGGTAAACACTTTCCAATATTATTGGAAGAAAGAAATTTAGTTTGGGTAAAACTAAAAACCAGGGTTTTTTGTTTGTTTTTTTCCTTTGTGGAAGGAAAAAGGAGTGAACTATATGAAGAAAATTCTTGATTCTCCATGTCCCAAAGCAAGACACTTACAATTTGCAGCTGCTTACAACCTTGGAAGAGCTTATTATGAAGGAAAAGGTGTTAAGCGATCAGATGAGGAAGCTGAAAGGTAATACTACCTGAGAGCAAGATTTTGTTTGAATGAAATGCTGAAACAAAGAATAACTTGCCTTGCTTTCTCTTTTAGACTGTGGCTTTTTGCTGCAGACAATGGAAATCCAAAAGCCAGTGTGAAGGCTCAAGGTATCCTAGGATTGTATTATTCAACAAAAGAGCCTAAAGAGCTAGAAAAGGTAACATTTCTCTTTCTTCTCTTTTTTAGAGATAGGGGTGTTGCCCAGACAGGACTTCAACTTCTGGGCTCAAATGATCCTCCTGCCTCAGCCTCTCAAGCAGCTGGGGCTATAGGCACGTGCACCATTGCATTCATTTCTTTCTTCTTTTTCAATGCTAGCATTATTTTTAGATTAATATCTGTTTCACTATTTCTTTTTTGAGAGGATGGTGAGGAATAAGTGTATAGATTTGAGTATCTCCTATACTTCCTTAAAATGCAAAGAAAGTTTACATTTTAGGATCCTCAAAGCTCATCTATAAATGCTAACTACCCTACCTCTACCAAAGGAGACCATAAATGTGAAGGGTATTTTGTATACTATGAAAAGCTACATATACAAAGTATTACACTATGAAAGCTAAAAGACGGACAGCCTAGGCCTAAATCCTTTTAAGTATGAATAAATTAATATTACCTTGGATTTGAAGAATATATGATACTAATAAGTAAAATATACTAAGAATTAGAAATTAAATCCATTAAAGATTTTCACAGAAATATAATCCCTTTCATCATCAGTGACTGAAACATTTTCCAAAAATCCTATAGGGAGAAAGAAATGTAGAGCTGAGTCCTACTTGTCAGAGAGGAGTTAATAGCAAACTTGTAAGAGGAGCACAGCTAAGACCATTCTCAGATAATGAAACAGCCACTTGGAAAGAATTTTTTCAACTAATACAAATTCACTGTGACTGTGAATTAAGCAAATGTGCTTGAGACTACATAAAGCTTTTATCCTTGGTTGTCTTTGATCTCTGCCACCTCTGAGATGCACCTGCAACTGTAACTGTCCCTTAGCCTCAGGGACCCTGCTGTGCCTCAAAGCCTTTCACACACTTAGTTCCTATTTTGCACCTTGTTGATCCTTACTCTGGTATATCAAGAATCCTGCAACCTGGGACAGCTGATCCTCCTCTGCCATGACCTCACCTGCACTGTGGGTAGACAGCAGTGGAACTCACCTTCACACTCTTTAGTAAGCATGTGAGTTTGGTGCTAGTGTGAAAGACATTCAAGAGGCTAGCAACTGTCACTTAGAGATCAACTACCTTATCATTAAAAGACTTTTTTTTTCTTTCTAGTCTTCCCTTATAATTTCACCTCATGAGTACTAAACAGAATGATGAAATCGTGCTTTTCCTTAGGCATTTTATTGGCATTCAGAAGCATGTGGCAATGGCAATCTGGAGTCCCAGGGTGCACTTGGTCTCATGTACTTTTATGGACAAGGCATCCGCCAGGATACTGAAGCTGCCCTGCATTGCTTAAGAGAAGCAGCGGAACGTGGAAATGTCTATGCTCAAGGGAATCTCGTGCAGTATTATTATAAGATGAAATTTTTTACAAAGTGTGTTGCGTTTTCCAAAAGGTGAATGTCTTAGTCTGCTTTGTGCTACTGTAACAGATTACTGCAGAGTGGGTACTTTATAATGAACAGAAATTTATTTCTTATAGCTCCGGGGGCTGGGAAGTCCAAGATCAAGGTGGTGGCAGGTTTGGTTGTCTCTGGAGGGCTGCATCCTCTGGACGGGAGGAACACTGTGTCCTCACTTGGCAGTGGAAGGCAGAGGGCAAGTTAGCTGAAAGCTGCACAAAGCTGCCTCTTTTATAAGGGCCTCAATCCCATTCACAACGGAGAAGCCCTCATGACCTCATCACTTCTTAAAAGTCCCACCACTTGATGCTATCACACTGGCTACATATGAATTTTGGAGCAGACACATTGTCCAATCATAGCAGTAAGGTTTGAATAAGTAAGCTGGATAAAAGTATTTACAAGAACTATTGGATGTTCTATGCCAGTTCTGTAAACAGACCTTTCTGCAATGTTGGAAATGATGGCTACTGAGCACTTGAGATGCATCTAGTACAACTTAGGACTAAATTTTTAAATCTTATTTAATTTTAATCAATTTAAATAGCCCCATGGCTAGTGGTTACCAGATTGTATAGCACAATTCTATTCCATCAGTCTTTAGGATTTCAGTGCTATTAGCTTAAGCAAGTTTAACTTTTTAAAGCATCAATTGCTTTATTTGTAAGAAGAAAATACTTTTACAGAGGATTATAAAAATGGCATATATAATGACATAGCTTGGCACATCAGAAATGACTGTTATATTTTAATTTCTTCCTACACTCCTCAGTCATGCACTTCTGTAACTGCACAGCTGAAACAATGGCTTGTAAGGACTTTAAAATGAGAATAATGGTTAAAAGACTGACACTAATATCTAATAAAATATATATAAAAACTTCTTTTCCCTGAGTCCATAAGGCTCCATGTACTTGCCTACATTTATTTAGCCGTAGTGTACAAAAGCAATATACAGGAAAAGCAGGCCTGGATGTCCGCTGAGTGGCTATCAGACTATGTATGTGCTGATGTGTTTCCCAGTCACGCCCCTGACAGAGCCTGGAAGGTCTCCCTGTCCCCAATCCCTGGTGGGGGGCAGCAATCCACAAGAGAGGATGAAGGGGAGGGGAGCTGCTTCTACCTATTCCTCCTCAACATCCTGGCTTCCAGGTAGCAGGCCACATACAGGAGCGACTGCCAATGTCCCAAAGCAAGTGCCCATCCTGATCAAAATAAGGCTTTAAATAGTTCTTTAAAATCTTTGGAACTTTCCACATTCCTATTCCCTAAAACATTGTGGTTAACATGGGATTAACTAGATGTCATTTGCACTCCATATTTGTGTCTGCTTTATAAAGGATTACTTCTTTTCACTGCCCACTTTTAACACACTGCCACACTAGAAAAAAAATTTTTTCCCCTGGGGCCACAGTGTTTTATTATGAAAATAGAATAAAAACCTTGAAAACAAAATGATCCTAATTTAATAAAAAAAATTGTTATTTTTGTTTTCTGTGCATGAGTTACATGCAATTCACACAGTACTAGAATCTATTTTTACACTGCATGCCACTTGAGTTGTATGTGACTCATACTTACTGCATTTGTTTCAGAGAACTGAGTTTTCATATGTTTCATGAGGCCCCGGGCTCAAAACTAGCGTGAATTAAATACAACTCACATGGCAGTTAATGTGTTAAAGAGTATAGATGTGCTGGTCTCTTAAAGTGTTTTCTGGTCCTATGTGACTAACGTCCAAATTTAAGGTTGGTGTTTCAACACATGATCCAGAGAAATAGAAAATGTTTTTTTCCCCATTCAGTTTAAATCCACAAAGTGATACTTAAGCTTACAATATGAGTATTATAAGAAAAAAGAAACATACCTTTGTTTTCTAGTGAGCTTGCTGGGTGTAGCCATAGGGAAGCTATGAAGTAACCACTCGAGTTAGTTCCTCTGTCCCTGGTATTAGCTGACTGTTATATTAATGCTTCACTGCATAGCAAACAACTTAGTTCTCAGAAGAAGACAGACTTTTCACTTTGGGCATAGGACAATTTCTAGACACATCATTTTGTAAACATGTAAACCACAACTGATGACCTTTTTAATTTTGCAATTTAATATCCTATCAGGATTGCCGATTATGATGAGGTTCACGACATCCCCATGATAGCCCAAGCCACGGACTGTCTGCCGGAGTTCATCAACAGAGGCATGGCCATGGCATCTTTCTACCATGCAAGATGTCTTCAGCTTGGCTTGGGCATCACAAAGGATGAAGCAACAGCTAAACAGTATTATTCTAAAGTAAGCTTTAGAACAAAATACAAACTGACCCAAAACAAACTGCTGGGCTTTTAGTTGAGACTTGAACAATTTCATGGATACATGTTTTTTACTACACAGTGACTGTGCAGATAACCTCTGTCTGCAGAAAGGTTGTCAGTCATGCAGATTGTTTACAGATGATTCTGTCAGATAATTAGTATAATGAAACTCAGATGATAAATAAGCCCTATTTTGATGCAAAAAAATTGTTCAGATTGAGCCAGGGAACAAGGCAAGGAAGAATTTTCTGAGTCCCTTGGTGCATCTGATATCACAGCAGTGGTTCCCAAACTTGTCTGCATATTAAAATCACCAAGGGATCTTTTAAAAATTCCAAAGCTCAAGCCTTATTTAGGAACAATTAAATCATGAGGTCCAGGAGTGGGACACAAGCATATTTGTTGACGTTCCCCACGAGATTCTAATGTCAGGTAAGTTTGGAACTTTATTTTGCTTGAAATTTCAATTTCCAGAGCATCAAACCTATATTAACACATAAATATATGAACACAGTACACAACCAAATACAACTGACCTTTGAGGTATTTACCACTATACCATTCTATTAGTATGAATAATACTTGTCTTTGTTAACTTTTTAAAAAAAAATCTAAATGCTCTCTGTATTATACCAATTTCCAAAGCAAGTCGATTTCAGGTTCTGTGCTATCCTTAGTATCCTTAGAAAACTCTGGGTCAAACCTATTCGCAAATACGGTACATATTCATCCTGAATAAAACAGCAAAACAAACATTGCGATCTAAGAAACTGTCTTCCATCTGAGGGGAGATAATAGCCCCATTACTCTGCACTAGTAAGACCACATCTAGAATACACACTCAGTTTTGGCCACTGTATATTATGGAAGATGCTGATAAAACAGAGAAAACTTAGAGGCTGTAAACCTGTGAAGGGTCTGGAGCCACATCCTTTGAGGCACGGTAAGAGAAAGAATGTCTCACTCGGAGCAAAAGGACCTGAGGGGATCCTGACAGTGGTCTTCCCTGGACTGATAGAGTGTCCCACAGGAAAGGAACCGTGGGGGAGGGAGCAGAATCAGGGTCAATGACAGTGTGTGACAGAATGAGGTGAGGCAGCAAGGTGGTACCTTAAAGGAGGGGGACCCAGGAATGGCCTCTGTTCTACCATCGTCAGGCTTGGTGACTTTGCCAACTATTTTGCCTCTTAGGGTTTCTATGAAACCAGCATTATATGTTCTCCCGGGGTCCCTCAATGATTCTAAAGTACAGAGATGGAAATTTGAGCTTAATGTAAGGAAGAGTCTTCTAATACAACTGTTCAGGAAACAAAAACAAAAGTTTTCTCTGTAAGGTGGTGACTTCCTGCCACTAGAAGCAACCAGCAAATATCTGGTGACCAATTGTCATGGGTACTGAAGGGACAATTTCTGCATAGAGTGGGGTTTGGAAGAGATAACCTGATCTCTCTCCCAAATTCTTGACATTCTAGAAATTATGCACCTTATCACTGTTTACTTTAGCCATAATAAAGCTATTTATTTTAAAATAAGATTATTATAGATGCTGTTCTTCATATAATGAGATCAGAACAAGTTTGAGGCCAAATGCTAATGCTTTCCATTTTACTATTTTAACAATTCATAACATACAATGCTATCATCAGTGCTTAAACTCCATTTTTGACACAAATAAAATTTTATATCTTTCAAATGACAATAACGTGGCTATTTTGAGTATGATCTATGTTGCATAGGTTAAATTTGAAACTCCCTTATTCTATTAGGAAATCAGAATAGGAAGTATCTTAATCAACAAATTCCCTGGAAATTCATTGTACTTTACTATTCTTAAAAACAAATTTTAAAAAAAAGGGGAAGAGAGACCCAAACAATTAGAATATATCTAAATAATTGACTTTCTTTGATTTTAAGGCTTGTCGTCTGAACCCTGCAGTGGCAGATGAACTTCACTCCTTACTTATTCGTCAAAGAATTTAGACCACAGTGCATTTCAACAAAGGTCATCAATCCTAATACCATACAACGTGTGTATTGTTACAGCAGCAATGTTTGGTTATTTTCTGCATCCCAAGTCACATTATCCTGGGTATTTTACAGGTGACGTGTCCGTTACTTTTGTTCTTGAATTTGTATGCTGTAATTCATGCAACTTGAAGCCTAGACATAGGAAGAGTCCTCAAAGGTCTACCTCTTAGCCTACAGACTGGCCAAGACCACATGAAATATTGAAACCATTCCATAAAGCCAAGTATTTTTTTCCTTTCTCAAATACTGAGTGTCTGAAAAGACTTAGTGTAGTTTTAGTTTAAAAAGTTCAGAAGTAGAAATAGAACAAACTTCTTTAAAACCATCATTTGAAAGTTTAATTCTTTAACTTTCTTTGGCCCTTATTAGTTTTATGAATTTTCAGTAACAAAATTTTACATTCGAAAAATTCACAAAACTATTAATAAGTAAGGGCCAAAGAAAGTTAAAGAATTAAACTTCAAGTGATTATTGTGTGTAACATTTCTACATCTGAAGTTATTAAAGCTAAAACTGCACTATGTCTTTTGGGGTATCCTATATTCTTAAAAAAGATTCCTATAAATAGTTGGTTAATTTATTACATATAAACTTCAAAAAAAAGTGGGTATAAGACATTGCTTTAGAATCTTAGCCCTCCAAATCTTCCCTCAAGATCTTAATGAGTAAAACAACTGCTATATTCCTGATGAATATTGATAAGATAACCAATTAAAGCAAGATATTCTTTGTGCTTCATTTTCTACGTTTTTAAAACCTTAGATATATTTCAATGGAAGACAAATTGTGAAAAAACCTCACTGAAATCATCCAACAAGAACTATTAATATAACTAAATATTGTTTAAAAATTAAATTAGCAAAAGGCTTTCCTTTTATCAATTATATCTATGAAGGGCGAAGGTGACAGTAAAAATAGTAAGATCCATATGCATAAGATTGTACAAGGATATACATTTGTGAAACAGATACTCATATTGAAGATATGTTTTAAAGATACCTTAACTATCCTTTTTTGTAAGCATACTAAACTGATGGGGCTTTATTTTATAAATTACAACCATCCTTTCTAACAATGGATTTAAACAAGATCTCTTCTTAGTACTGGGAAAATGCAATTAACATGTAGGTGACAGTCACCAAACAATTGTTATATGGAAGAAAATTATTTGTTGTTGTTTATGTTCTGGCTTGTCTATATTACTTGAACTTCATTTTCTCTTTATGTAAGGGGAAAACATTTCAACATACTCAGGTTTGAGATATCCTCAAATAGTCATGTGCTTCTGTCTTAACTCTCTTAAAAATGTTTAAACCATCCCTGAAAACCAATCCTTTTCTTCTCAAATTGATACTGAAGACTCTATATTCTCCCCTAGTAACACTGTTCAGTGTCTCAAGCTCATTACAAGATTTCACAATATCTAATTTAAATTTTTGTACAATATAAGCCCACTTGCTTTGCTCTAGTTCTCTTAATAGCATCCATATAACATTCCTTGAACCATCTGAAGATCCAAATTCCCAACCAATATTCTCTTCTCCACACTTAATCCAGTTCCTAAAGCCTTTCTTTAAGAATCCTAAGAATCCTAAAATAGAGGCTGGGCGCGGTGGCTCACGCCTATAATCCTAGCTCTCTGGGAGGCCGAGGCGGGCGGATTGTTTGAGCTCAGGAGTTCGAAACCGGCCTGAGCAAGAGCGAGACCCAGTCTTTACTAAAATTAGAAAGAAATTAATTGGACAACTAAAAATATATATAGAAAAAATTAGCCAGGCATGGTGGCGCATGCCTGTAGTCCCAGCTACTCGGGAGGCTGAGGCAGGAGGATCTCTTGAGCCCAGGAGTTTGAGGTTGCTGTGAGCTAAGATGACGCCACGGCACTCCAGCCTGGGCAACACAGTGAGACTCTGTCTCAAAAAAAAAAAAAAAAAAAAAAAAATCTTAAAATAGGAATGTAATAAAGGAGTGACCCAAAGTAAACACCACTTTTTAAACTGCCATTAAAACAGTCTCAGAAATCATGAACTTAAAAATTTGACAATGTGCCATGTGTGGTAACATGCTACACCTAAATGTCTTCAATAATGCAAAATTTAAAATTTCGGTTTCCTGTAGTTACCGGAAAGCTGATGCTCTGGCACAGGCGAGCCCCTGCAAACTACCACTGCCCACACAGTGGCACACAGGTTGATCTTTGAGTGGAGTTAGTCTTTAACTTAAGTGAGTTGAGACTTCCAGAGCATTACTCTTTAAAAACAAAACAAAACTTATATAAGATTCCTTATAGCTGGCATCTCAGGAAAAAATGAGAATTTATCATAAAGAAATATTGAGTCAAAAGTTATTTTTCTCATTTACAGTATAAATTTAACAGCTACAGTTTAAATGATAGCATAGAATTATGTATAAGATGGACATTTCCAGTAATTGTGTAATGATGAGTGTTTTGGGCTTGGCAACTTCATTTTTTTCTCTTTCCTGAATGTATTTTATATGGTCTTTTCTATACCCTTTTGAAGGAGAATTCTTATGCATATAAACAGTCAACTTTGAATTTTTCTGAAGTGTCAAATATCATTCTGGTTTGAAAAAAGAACCAAAAAGCTGCAACTAGAAGAATCTCACAGATAAAATTGGGTTTACTATTTGTTAATCATTTATCTTTCAGAACTTGTTTATTATCAAGAGCATGGCAGGTATGATCTATCAATAATATAACCTATAGCACTATATATATATATATATAGTGGTATAGGTTGTATTATACCTACTATAATACTTTTTACATATAGTCTTTTTCTTTCACAGATTCAAACTGAATTTTTACCTTTTAATTGTTTTGTTTTCAATATTCCTGGGGATTAGAGAGGGGAAGGGATTTTATTATCACTGAATAATAGATGGTGAAACCCAGAAAAACTGATAAAGTGACTTGTCTGTGTCCCCACTATCAATAACAAAACAAAATCTGTACTCTGGATCTCACTCAGTGCCCCTGGTAGTCTACAAGACCAGGTGACACAATCAAGTCCCTAAACTCCCTGGAGTGACTTACCTCTGTTTCCCTGTCTCAGTCCTGCCCGTACTTCAAGGTTCAGCTCACACCTCACCTCTCTAATTACTAATTTGGCTCTTTTTGCTCACTAAAAATCATGTATTTCACATATTTATTTTATGTCTGGAGAAAGGCAGCAAACTTTATACTTCCTTACAGAAGTACTGAAGTGCCCAGCGTTTTCTACAAAAAAGGCAGTCAATCAATACCTGAACTGCCCGAATTGTTTCAATCTTTTTTTTGAGATACAAGTATCTTAAATATCATAGAGCCCAGCGATTCATTTTTATATTTTATTGCTTCGAATGCTCAAACTATGGGAAATCTTTGGTAAAAATAAAGACAATAAAATTTTCACAGTAACTTTACACAAAAGCATTGCACAACAATGTTCTTCAGTACACATGAAATAGTATAGGAATGTTCAGAATCCTCAGTGAGGAAATTAACTGTACAATATTCATAGTTCTTCATTTTAAAACAAAACTGTTTTCATAAATATTTAAAATATTTCCTAGGTTCTTATCACATATTAACATTTGTATTTCAATCAATATGTAGAGCTTTAAAGTATTGATATTATATAAATAAAAATCAATAGTTTTTTTTTTTTTCCTGTTGTCTACTACAGCATCAAGTCCCCCTCCTCTCCAATTATGCTTATTTCGCATAAAACTAGAGGGAGGTAACTAAAATAAAAATCAATATGGTTCTCAGTCAAGCCCTCTGTGGAAAAGAGGAAAATGTTTCATGTCTATATACACAGACATTTCTATGGTGGTTTATTTGTGCAGTTTCAAACTTGACCAGCTTTAAGTTGATCTAAATGAGCCCTCAGCTCAGGACACAGTTCAATTAGCAGTAGTTCCATCAGCACCTGAAAATAAAGTGGAAAAATGTGTTTTGTCTCCAAGGGTTTACTCAAAATAAATATTTGCATCTAGGAGGAAAGTCTAATTTTAGGTCTGAAATTATTCTCAGTACACAAGTGATTCTCAAGCAAAAGAAATTAATATCACATAAACTCCAGTTAACCATTATCAAACAATCAGCAGTATCGGTAGCAGTCCCAGCTACTTGGGAGGCTGAGGCAGGAGGATCACTTGAGCCCAGGAGTTTGAGGCCACAGTGAGTTGTGATTATGCCACTGCACTCCAGCCTAGGCAACAGAGTAAGACACTGTCTCTGCAAAAAAATAAATAAAGTCAAGAGAGACAACTATTTAATAGTGTTTAAGAATGAGAATGCTGAATCCACTGGGGGTAATTTATTTTTTTAACTAAATGAATGGACAAAATGAAGCAGAGAAAATGGGTTCAGAGTTAAAAGTAATAAGAGTGATTAAAAATGTGAAGAATTAAAATCTACACTAATATGTGAACAGAAATATAAAACAGTGGTCTGGAAAACCTCCCTGAGGTTTAATTTACTCACATATAACAGATGCTTATTGGCTCTTGTTTCTTGCAGTGCATTGAATATTTTTATTATACCATGGCGGGCATTTTGCTGTCCAACGAGGCTCTGAAGCATATCTGAAAAATTAAAGTTTATATTCTATGCTGCTATTGAAAAAGTGACAATGCATAGATATTTGGTGAAAGAGATATTACATGATACATACACAATAAATAAAGGCACTGAGGCATGAGAAACATGAATGGTCAGTTCCCTCAAACACTTAAAAGAGAAAATAAGTTTATTTAGAATTTTTCAACGTAAGTCACTTACACAAATTACAATTTTATATATTGCTGCTACCAATTTTAATAATTAAAATCTTAACGTATTACTAAAAATGATGCTCTCAAAACAATATACTTTAGTAGGATCTCTAAAGCACAAAATCTATTGTTAATATCTATCCTAAAACATTTTTCTAGTTAAAAAAGTTCTTATTAAGATTCTCAGTACAACTTCTCAGCAAGTGACAAAAATGGCTCGAAAGAAAAGAATGTGATCTTGTTTTCCATTGTAAATAATGTTTCCTGAAAGATATAAATGAAAAATGCCATAATACGGTTAATGTTCCCTCTTTCTCTCTATGCTTTTCAGGACAACGCAGGCCTCACCTGGAATGTTTTCGAGTAGCTTTTGCTGTGCTCTCTGTTTTGTTTCCTGACATTGCTCTTTGCTTCTGATCTTGGTTGGTGGTGCCAATTTCCCATTTGGCCAAAAAGCATCCCGGAAAATATTGATGTAGTAAACCAACATTTGCTCACTGAAAATCCAGTTCACTGTGTCCCGGATTTGTCTTTTAAAAGAAAAATATTTCTTGGATGAGGTTTTTTAAAAATGTACTCTATTCTCAAAAGGCATTTGTCAATGGGTAGGTTAAGATACAACCCAATCTAAATGTTTGATGAATAAACTAGGAATTGGATTTTTAACCTCTGGCTCTGACCATGATTTTTTATTTTGGTAAACTGGATGACCATTTATTTCAGGAGCTATTTTCATTGGCACTAACTTCTCCAAATGTTTGCCATGGCCGGGCGCGGTGGCTCATGCCTGTAATCCTAGCACTCTGGGAGGCCGAGGCGGGCAGATTGTTTGAGCTCAGGAGTTCGAGACCAGCCTGAGCAAGAGCGAGACCCTGTCTCTACCAAAAATAGCAAGAAATTAATTGGATAGCTAAAAATATACAGAAAAAATCAGCCGGGCATGGTGGCGCATGCCTGTAGTCCCAGCTACTTGGGAGGCTGAGGCAGTAGGATTGCTTGAGCCCAGGAGTCTGAGGTTGCTGTGAGCTAGGCTGACGCCACGGCACTCACTCTAGCCAGGACAACAAAGTGAGACTCTGTCTCAAAAAAAAAAAAAAAATGTTTGCCATGCAGTACCTTTCAATCTATAAAGACAAGAACCGAGAGACTGACCGATTTATTTGAAGACCGCAATTTATTTCTCCATGAAGTGTTATAAATTGAAAACATAAATCCATTTAAAGACTGCTAAAAGTGGTCTGGAAAACCTCCCTGAGCTCCTAAAGTCCTGGAGGAGAACCAGGCTTTTTCACTAGCTGTCTCTTAGTGTCCCCAGGGTGGATAATGCTAGGCAGAATACTCTGACCCAGAAGATGCACCTCACAGCTCACGAGTCAAGGAAAAAGATACTCCCTTTCAAAGATACACTGCTCTATGGCCAATGTCAAATTTCCACGGGAATGAAAAATTGGGCAGACATTTGACTTGCACAGTTATGCACAAAATGGCTTTTATCTGGTTACCCAGGTCTTCCACACAAGTCATTAGTCAAACTTCTGGTTTTCTGCTGTCAAGAAAAAAGCAAACACAGTTCAAAGAGCCCAAGAATAGGTATGAGGTTGGGAGGAGAAAGTCTGTCTGTTGAAAAGGGGGGAAAGAATTATCTTAGACTATTAATGCTACAAAGACCTGAAATTCAAACTCAATTCGTGAATAATAATAAATCAAAAAGCCCTTTAAGAATTCAACATCCAACCAGATTTTTAAAGGGACAATATAAGGTTTTCAGAAATGGTATCTGAAATAGATGTTTTAAGTCTAGTACTATGCACATAGTAATCAGTCACTATTGAATGAATGTCTAAGCTCCACTATGATTCAAATTATAATGTGAATTCTGTTTGTGACTGCACATTTCCTAAGATCCTTCCCTACAGTGCTTTGAACTTTGCAATCGAAATCTAGAGTATGAAATAAATTTATTAATTTAATGGGACTTCTGCTTTAAGAGAGACCTGCCTGCCCACCTTCCTACAATTTCAGTTTACGATTTAAGATTTGCTAAGTGGCTTTTTTACCAAAGGCCATCACCTAAGTATTTTCTACCAATCTAGGTCTGACTTTCCTATTAGCCAAAACCTGTAGGAAGCTTTTGAAGCAATTCTAGAATGTGAAATTGTAGTCGCTACAAGGCAAGAGGCACACACTGTACTGCTGCTTAATTTTATGATGTGTCATCATGTGCTAAAGGCAAAAATAGCAGAGGACCAGGTGCTCCAGAATTCTGTACCTGATAAAAGCCCATTGAAATGAACAGCCTGAAAATTCTCTACATGATGCCTCTCCTCCATCCCCATGAAAATAACTGCCAAATGCATTCACCACTCACAAACCACAGCTGCTCATTTTATAATTAAGAGCCAATATCATAAATAGGAACAAGGAAAGTATGCATGATTTGCTCAAACTGAAAAGGAAAATAAATTTGCAAGTCTCAAGTACCGAGAAAAATACGGCCGTTTTTGAAATGTCTTTATCTAAGGCCTATCAATACTAAAGTTAAGAGGTTTGCCTTAGACTAAAACGGTCAGTTAAATAGGCCATTTTTTCTGATTAAAACAAAAGCCTATGATACTAAGCCAACTAAAACTATTCTTTTTAAATATTACAAATAAAATAGAAGTAAACTTTTGTTTGTGAGCAAAAGGAAAATATATCTGTAAAGTAATTAAAAAAACAAATTTTTTACTATGTTTCACATTAAAATGTATAAGCTTTATGCTAAAACTATCATATTAACCTTGTACAAATGTTTGACAACCAAATTAATCTTTCACTTCGGAAAATCTGATAACTTTACCTTAAAACTTATTTTGTTATGCAAAAAAATGATTTTTTTTCTTATTTTTAGAAGTTGACTGACAATTATTTCTATTCTGCAGGAAATCATGATGTTTACCTCTTGAAGAATTTTGGGTATAGTGTTACTATGTAAAAGACCTTAATAGTAGCAGTTCCAAATTCTAGGCACAGGCCAGGAGGCCAGGTTGGGTCTGCTGACCAGTCTGGTGACCTCAAGACAAGTTACTTCGCCTCTTAGGTCACGTTTCCACACCAACAAAATGAGCAGTTTGACTTATCTCGAAGACTCCTTTCAGGCCTGAACCTATCTAAATAATTCTATTTGACTTCTACTGACTACATGATTTTGCAGTTAAGAAAAATTCCAATAATTTCTTAGGAACTAATATTAATTGACGGTTGAGTTCTCAATAACAGACCCAAGGCTTTCATAAATGAATGATCAAAATGTGGATTATTACTTTTTATGAACACCAGAACACTCTGTGAAAGATCTATTTACATGTATAATGCTTTTATGTATATGGATAATGTAACATGGTTAATACTATACATATTGCTTATAACAGTGCTATTATGATAGAAACACAGACACACCCCGATGGATACTCAGATATTAACTAACAAGAAGAACTAACCTTTTAATGCTATCCTAACTCTTAAAAAGTTAATGTATGGTTTGTACTTCCCTCCAAGCAAATACTTGCCATGTGCCACTCATCCTACTTCCATTGTGGCTTCCAGTGTAATCCCTAAACTGATTTTCATGTGACATAAAAACACTATACCCAAGATACTCCAACCAGTCATCATGATCAAAAGGGAACTTTACAGGACACAACCTTCTGGCCCTCATCGGCCAGAATGCTGGGGCTAGCTGATGCTTTCATCTAATTCACCGTCTATTCTGTGGGAGAGGGTCTTTCAGAAATCTGCTTCCCTATCCAATCTTAGACTCACATGAGAAGCAAAAAGTAAGAGGAAATAAAATGCTGTCAGTAAAACCACTGGCTATTTTACCATAAAGTAATTTGACTATTAAGGTAGAGAGCAGGGCATTGATCCAAATATTAATTTTGGACAACTCACTTGTTGATGGTTCTTCCAAAAGTGACCTGAACGAGGGCAATTAATGTTCTTCTCACCCATTTAAACACTAAAATATAAATCAGAGGAAAACTTTTTATCAAAGATTTCATAATTATGACATTTTCATAGCGGTACAAAGCTTAAATCCCACCACTTAACGCAATCTGAGTCCTGACATCGAGTCAAGGCTGTGGTATCTGCAGAATTCACATCCAGGTTAGCAAACGTCCTCTCCGGAAAACTCTTATTTTCAGCTAAGCAACTGATGATATGAAACCAAAGAGTTTGTACAGCTTTTCAATGCCTAAACAACAGCTGAGCTGGCAAGTGCAAATGATACCTCATTTCGTATGTCCCTGGGCTACTGACAACATGTCTGTTTTCCACTAGCAGACAGCATAATTCCTATTTTAGATTTCTGTCTGGCTTGCTGAACCCAATTTTCGAACATACTACTCTGAATGAGAAACATCTGTAGTCAAATGTTGAAAAATATTTTGAAATATAAATGAATTCACGAGTCTAACTGCCCCCATTTGAATGGTAGTTTGTAGATCATCCTGTATTTGTATATATGTAATGTGTTTGGGGGAGGAAAGATGAACTGCAAAGAGCCAGGAACCTGAATGAGATATGACTTGAGCAATCTCCTGTGTCACCTCCTAGAGCTGCTGGGCACAGATCGCTTTCTCTGAACCTCAGTTTCCTCACCTGGAAAAGGACAGTATTAACATATGCTTTTCTTTGCTCTCTGGGTCCTTTTGTGTGTGAAAATCATCGTGAAGGGTTCTACAGATATAAACTTTTATTGTTAACATAGAGCCATTGTTATAGAATATGAACACAAATAAGCTAAAAGAAGGCAAAGAAATGCTGTGATGATATTTTAGGTCTGGAAATTGGAATCTAAACCAATTTTTTCATTTATATATCCACCTCCATCCATTGAAATGTTTGGTTACTGACACAAGAAGAAATGAGAAATTCAGACTCGGCTATAATGGAGCCTAGAGTTCAAGGCTCCTGCACCCAGTAAGAAAATCTGAAGGAGCAAATTCACAAACGTCTCTGTACAAGGGCAGCCACACAAATAAAAATCAACTATCAACACACACTTGGTACTACTAGACTTTAAAACATTCTAAAGTCATTTCTAACTTTTTAAATAGGTCAAAATATCAAGTTAAAGTAGCATTAATCCCTCAGGTAAAGTAAAGTTTTGGAGTCAGAACCATACTTCAAAAATGCCTTAAACTTTTTGATGGAATTTGCTGGAATGCTGCCAAGCATGCAGACTTGTTCATTTTAGGCTGATATTTAGGCTGGGATGAGCATGTCTGTCAGTGATAATAACGTCACTCTGCCTTTCTAGGGCAGGAGGGAGGTAGTTCATACCCAAAGGATCTGAGGACAAATGCAACTCCAGGAAGAATGCCTATAAGCCAAGTGCATATTAAAAAAAAAAAGCGGGGGTGGGGGGTGCTATATTACTGGTCCCTTTTTTGTATACCGAACTAGAGCAGAAACCAAATAGATTTTGCTCCATATCCTCTCCCATCACGACAGCCCCTTACTCTACTACTTTTTCCTATCCTTTCCCCATCCCCAACCCCCCAAAACAGCCCCATTACTCCTTCCGAAGGCTCATTTGTTCAAAGCTACAGAAGCAGCTGCAGCAGCACTAGGATTCTGCTGATGGCAAATATACCACATCTCATTATAAATGATGCTCTATTTATTCCTCTCTGAAATGTTACTAGCAAAACCAGATATGCTCTGAGCAGGCATCCGATGGAGGAAGTGCACACTGCAAAGACAGGGTTACGAGCCCCGCTCCAGCCGTGACTAGCTCTGATATGTCTACCACGTCTCTTTAGCTCCTTGCATCAATCACAAGGAACAAAATGACAAAGGGTGGGATAGCGCTTCCTCATTCTTCCTCAACTCTGTGGGAAACTGGGAGGATTCATGATTTAACAGCCCAGATTTCACTAAGGAAGAGTCAGACTTTGGTGGAGTACTGCTTTTTCTGCCTATACTGAATCAAGGTAAACATCAGTATATATCAAAGTTTCCAAAATATTGAAACACTACAGCTTTTTCATCTGAAAGGACTTTTCGTATCTGGATAATATTCCATCATATGGATTGTTTCCTAAATAATCTAACTCTCTCCTATTTCTAAAGTTTATCTTAGTTCTAACTTTTCATTATTGTAATTATGATAAAAATGAACATCCTTTTATATAAATCTCTGCCTGCAGTTCAGAATTTAATTTTGTCTGTTGTTTAATGTGAAGCACATTTTTGGACCCCTTTTACTATAAATTCACTAAAAGCAAAATCTATATCTTGATATATTTTTGTTTCCTTACAGAAGTGCATCTAAAACAAAGGCTCCGAAAGTATTTACTGATTGACATTATATACTCTCCTGGATTTGATTCAGGAGGAGAAAAAGTTCAATAACCTAAGAAAATTCATTCTGTCACTTAAAATTTTCTTGCCTATTCGCACTCATCAGTGTATCCATCCAGGAATTTTATTGATCAGGCATTACAGTAGATACTAAGGATTAAAAGATACATAAGACATGTTCAAGTTTAAAATAGTACTTGAAATTTTTTCATCTAAATAGTTCTAATAATCCTTGAAGTGACACGTTCAGGGATATAAGTGAGAAGGATGTACAGCCCCATTTCCTATGTAAGACCCACTCTTAGCCTATCTCCTTTGTCTCAAGGGAAAAGATGCTGATCTGAGTGGATAAAGCCCAGGACATTCATGGGGCAACATTTCACTGGCTGGTGGCATTACTGTGCCCTACACACTCTTGCTCTTCTCATTTGCTTCCTCTTTTAGGTGGTTAGGTGTGCCTGTAGGCACCTGCCATATCTCTACCTAGTACCGAGGCTCTAGGTCAGACCAAATAAACTGGTCTCGTGATTTAGAGTGCCGGGGGGTTGTGAAGGTGTGGGCAGAGAGTAGTAAGTCCTGTGCAAGACTCAAGACCAATCTGCGTTGGCTGGTCCAAGTGCAGTGGTGTTTACAACTAATTGATCACTACCAGTTACAGATTTCTTTGTTCCTTCTCTACTCCCATGGCTACACTTGACTAGTCTTTGAAAAAGAAAAAAAAAAAAAAGCATAAGCTATGTAGTCCAGTTTACCTTTCGCCAAAGCACTGCTCTGGGGGATGGGCACTTGAACAGCTCTTAATAAAATGGTATTTTTGATCCCTATTTTGCAATTGTTTCTTCTAAGTACATCTCCTTCAGGAATTACGAGGGAAGGATTTCTCAACTCAGTGTTACTGCCTTTGGGCAGGATAACTCTGTGGTGGGGGCTGTCCTGTGTGTTTAGAATGTTTAGCAGCATCCCTAGTCTGTACCCACTAGATGCCAGCAGCCCACCCTCACCCCAAGTTGTGGCAACCAAAAATGTCTCCAGATACTACCAAATGTCTCTCCCTCCGTCCCTCCACTGAGAACCACTGCTCTAGAGGAAGAAAGATAGTTGAAAAATAGGGTTGAGGCATTCCTGCATCCCTGGCCATAATACTATCCTAGCAACACAACCTCACCTTTAACAATAGACTTTTTCCTCTGCTATGCAAAATAATTGTTTGTATAACTCTTGGTGATAAGGCAACAAAGCTATGCCAAATAACACAAAAAGAAATTCAAAGCACTCTATCTTTCTGATTTCAGAGGAACATGGTGCAGGGTAAACTGGGACCCTAAGTTCCAAGAGTGCAGAGATGTTATCTGTCTTGAGGTTGTATGCCCAGCATACTATGTGCCTGGCTCTTCAAACTATTTGTTGAATGAATGAATGCATGAATATATATACATGGCTGATGCACTTCAGGAAGGGGCATTAAATGTGTGTGCGCACGGGTGTATGTACCACTTAACTAGCAAGTACCACTAAGTAATAGCAAAGAGGCTTACTTCCTCGAAGCTCAAAAATCTCCCCAATCAACATGAAACATGGTTCAGCCAAGGCGTCTTTCTTCCCATCCACATCATCACCATAATCTGACAGGTCACTGTCCTCCTCTATCTCCTCCTGGGGATACAGCAAAGTCATAGGAAGCAGATTACATATCCAAGAAAACTGGTAGAGCTACTCTCCTTCTTCAAGTGTAAATTCCAAACTATTTGCTCATATTTTAACTTTACATAATCCTTCAACTTTCATACAGAAATCTATCTATTTTCAATATGAAGGACAGAATGAATCTAACCTCAGGGAAAAGCTTGACTCCAAAGCTTTACTCCAGGTTTAAAACATAAGCTAATTTTAAAAAACCTCTGTCACTGTATTAATAGTGTTCTAACCATTTTGAGTTTTGAAAGTAAGACTTTTAACTTAAATAATTTTAAATTCACTGTTGTTTTTTAAACATGCACATTTTAAAGTAATTTAGTTATTTTTAAAGCTCTGATTCAAGCTTGTATTCTGTACTTCAGCTAGTCTCATTTCCTGATGTGCATATCAGCAAGTTTCAGTTCAAAACTCCTTCTGTGCCGGGCACCAGGCTGGTGCTAATGAGTGTGACATGGATCCAGACGTTCAGCGCCCACAGTCTTCTCAGGGACTGACAGGTACACACACAAGTCGCTGTTTCCACAAGGAAGGACGAAATGCCGTCAGAGAGGTGCAAACCTCAGGTGGTGGAAGGACCAGCGAGGAAGTGCATTCTAACGTCTGCACAGAGGCAAAACTGAAGTGTGGGCCCAAGCAGAGGGCTAACGGCAGGACTCTGGGAGACACCTGCATCAGGTGAGCAGGGAAACGACTGAGAAGTCACAGAGACAGGAGGAGTTCCCTGAAAATCTACAGCTTCACAGAAGTCCAGCAACATCAAATGCCCAAAGAGGCTGAGAAAAGTCAAGACTAAGAGGAAACCCCTGGCACTCCACTTCAGAGAGCCATTTCACAGAGTGACCGAGCCACATGTAAACTCTCCAGGGTTCGAGAATAAAAGGGAGGTGACAGAGGTAAGCCAGCCAAGTGTAGACAAACATGAAGGGCAGCGGTGGGAGAGAAGCTTGGGGGGAAGCAGGTTTGCACGTGGACCTGAGCAGAGGTGTGGGCTTGCAGTATGCACCGACTGCTCCTGGCTCAGAATGTGGGAGAGTAGCATACTCCTTTTCATCACCAGTTCCTCTGCCCACACTCACTGAGCCAGTCCTGATGAAGAGGCAGTGGCATCTGGCAATAGGCTAAGGAGAAGCCACATTTCAGAGACAGTCTTGTGCAATTGGCTAGAGACCCAGACAGGGGCCTCCGTGGCCTACATGTGAGTTGAGAGCCTACTCTGGAGGAAGCCTGAGGTCTAGAACATGAGATCAAAATGTCTACAGTCTCTCTCTATTCATTCCTTTACTCCTACATATCACTGCCTTATTCGTCTTCCTTCAAAATAGTCCACAGTTCTCCATTTCCTGAGAAGACAGTCTAAACTCCCCAGCCTGGCATGAACCTTGCTCCTCCCTTCTGCCCTTTCCCTTCTCTTGCACTAGAGCACTGCAGAACCCCCGACTCTGGACCAATGACCTACGCCCTCCTCTCCTGAACCCTTCTGGCAGTCCAGCTCCTCCACCGCGACGGCCCTCCTGTCCCTCCCGTGGCGGGCCTGGCGCCTCCACCTCATGTGGAGTGGCTCCTACAGGGCTTCCCATCCACATCTCACCCACCTTCTTATTCGTCTTTCCATTTCTGTATCTTAACTCCTCCTCTTGCAGGGGAGGACAAGTCGGTGCCCCAAAATATGACAGCGACAGTAACTAAAAATGGATGTATTTGCTTTCCCCCCATTAGCAGCATGTGCCCAACAAGCATCTGTTACTCCAAACAGCCTTCAAAAAGATATCTGCTTACATATGCTATGAAAACGGTACAACCTTTAGACGGCTCACCTCCTGGTGGGAGAAGAAGTCACGAGGAAGTCTTTCCAAAAATGAAGATAATGAAAAAGTGGTTTTTTTCCCCTGCACGTCAATAACCTTGAGGTAGTCAGGAGAAGGGCTCAAAAAGGCATAAAGTGCTTCGCTCTGACACAGTCTTTCATCTGAAAGCAGATTCTGTGGAAGAAAGAGGATGAATTGCTCCTATACAGGAAACGCTCTGTGCTGCTGGGAGCTACTACGAGTAAAGGCAAACAAGGCAGAATTGATTGTATCACAAATTTATTTACATCATATTTCTGAACCCCAAACCACTTCCTTCTCCCCATGAAATGAAATGTACTGGATCAATTCTCAACGATCTTAACAGCAAATAGTACTCTCCAGGTTAACTGGTAGTGCCCTAATCACTCTGCTCATGGGGGACCCTGTGCAGGTAGAACTCACTCCACTTTATACCACTTGGTGCAAAAAAACAGTCTTACTTTGCGTACAACTCACAGATTCCAGGTGCTACCACCTTTGCAAGACAACTTTCACCCATCTGTGTTTGAACAATTTAAATTTTTGCAAATTACACAAGGATACCACTAAATTGCCATTTTACGGCTATGATCAGACTTTGTACATTGGCTAAAAAAAAGAACTTTGACTTATTACATGGTGGCACTGCCTGCCAAGCAACAGTTTCATTACACTACACTGCCACCTTCCAAGCAGTGCTTGTTTATGTAACTATACAACTGTTTTTATTGGCCCTTAAGCTGGCAATTTCCTAAAGTTCTATATGTACTTATCAGGCCTTAGGGGAGAGGAGAGCAGAACATAAATCAAGTTTATGTACAAGCAAGTGCTATGATAAGACAGTAAAATTAACAATGTGACCACAGAACATTTAAGTCTCTAGTATTATAAGATATAGGGTAAAGGAATAAATAAACCAAAGGGAACTACTGCCCGTTTATGATGTAACCCCTGTGGAACACTAGAAGCCAACTATGCTTCTAATGACAGAAGCTGGACTAGAAGTGGAGGTTCAGGTCTGGTCCCAGAGCAGCTGGTCCACAAAGGTCACATCCTATTTGTTCAGATAGCAAATGACCTGACAGACCCTATGACCTTCCTGAGAATAAGCACCTTTGGAAGGGCCCAACAGTACCACACTGGAGACAAGGAGTCCCAGGGGCACCACCAGCATCCCAGCAGTTGCGAGCTTCGTGCACCCTGCAGAAGGCTGGCCCCTGACAATGCACAGGTCCTGCTTGGACACAGGGAAGGAGCTTAAGAGGAATGGCCAGTTAGTGCCACCACTGCCTTCCCTTCCCTGCACCCCGCAGACAGGCCTTTATTCCTTTTTCAGAGTACTGAATGGTCAGTTCAACTTATATGTGAGGGTAGATTGGGAGGAATGAGATATTCTCCCCCATGTCTTGATTTCCTTTAGCTAATCTACACTCAACATTATTTTATAAAATGGTAGGATATGATACTAATGGTAAGTCTCAAATTTAATACAATCAATATAAATAAGGAAATCACTAAGAGTGATAAATCTTTGGGCTTAATTACATACAATTATGAAGGAAAGCAAAATTAAGTACGTAGAAAATGATGTTAGAAATGTGATCAAAGACTATGTCTGCAGGCAAGGTAGTGATTAAATCTGGATTTTATCACTTACAAGCTTTCTGAGAACAGAATCCCACTCCCTATCCTGAACTCCCTCACCTCTCAAACATGCTTGCTATGCTAGTCTGGTGAAGATCTAAGACAGCTACTCCGTGGAGCCAGAGAAAAATGTGGCACTCCAAGAAGCATAAACAGCATACGCATGCCCAGAAGTGGGGTGGAGCGCCTGTCGAAGGAAACCCAGCATGGCTGGAACAAGTGGATGTGTGTGGGAGGGATGGGGAAGATAGTGTGTAGGCATGAAACTAGACGAACATGACAGCATGAACAGCAATGACCAGCTAGATGATTAATGTCTGTCTTATTAGTATGCCTTGATAGGGCACCATAGCTCATATTTAAGCATTCAAGTAAACATACACTCAATGGAATTGTTTTTTTCTGGAACATCCTGGGGACCTAATAAATCTGCCTTTTAGACTAACGATTTTGCATTTTACTTTTCCTGTCTGCAGTTTGTGGGATGATATATTTGACAATACAGTCTGCTGTGTGGCCTTACCTAAATATACTGAATAGTTAGCACTTTCAAATAAAGTCTTTGAGGAAATGAAAAATAATTGAAATATTATTTCCTGACTTAAACTTCTTTTAACTAGAAGGCAAATGACCACTTGAGACCACTGTCATCTGGTTTAGCTGCAGATTATTCTTGCCCTGAGCCATACTCACACTACCTACCAGCAGTATGCCAGCATGCATGCTTCTCTTGGCACAACAGCAGAACTCACTAACCCATTTCCATCCCCAACCACCCAGTAAGAGCATATATCCAGTTAGAATGAATAATATAGAAAAGACAAAAGAAAACCAAGTGTTGGCAAGGATGTGAAGAAAAGGCAACACTTACTGTTCATGGAACTGTAAATTAGTACAGCCATTATGGAAAATAATATGGAGGTCCCTCAAAAAAATTAAAAACATAACTACCACATGATCCAACAATTTCACTACTGGGTATATAAGGAAATGAAATCAGTATGTCAAAGAAATACCCGCACTCCCATGCTTATTACAGCACTATTTATACAATAGCCAAGATACATTAATATTACAGAATCAACCTAAGTGTCCAACAATGGATGAATGGATAAAGAAAACCTGTTACATATACACAATGGAATACTATTCACCCATAAAAAAGAATAAAATCCTGTCATTTGTGACAACAGGATCAACCTGGGGAACACTGTATTAAGTGAAATAAACCACACACAGAAAGACAAATATAGCATGATCTCACTTATCTGCGGAATCCAAAAAAAGAAGTTGATATAGAAACAGAAAGTAGAACAGTGGTTACCACAGACTACAGAGGGGAGAATGGGAAAAGCTGTTCAATGGGTACAAAGTTACAGTTAGACAGCAGGAATAAGTTCTGGTGTCCTGCTGCACAGTAGGGTGACTATGGTTGACAGTAAGGTACGGCATATTACAAAATTGCTAGAAGAGAGGTTTTTGAATGTTCTCACCACAAAGAAATGATATATGCATGAGGTGATGATGGATAGGCTAACTACTCTGACTTGATCGTTATGTAACATACATGTATCAAAACATGAAATTGTACTGCATAAATATGTACAATTACAATGTGCCAACTAAAAAATAAAAAAATTAAAATGATAAAAATATGCAAAGCATATAAAAGAAAGTCTTACAACTTCTAGCTACTAATGCATAGGGAAAAACATGTTTTATGGAGCACAGATCCATGCCTCTAAGAATTTTAGGGCTCTATGGTCCTTAGTTTAAGTAACAGCTATATACTCTGGACACAGATGGTGCAGCTAAGGAAAAAATAAACAGTGGTTGCTGTTGAGAGAACATACTGTTATCTTGCCTTATTATTGAAAAACAGACTGATGGAAAACAACAAAGTGTTTACATGAAATTTATCTTCAGGGCCTTGGAATAGGCAAAGACTTCTTAACAGGCACAAAAGGCATTAACAATAAAAGAAAAAATTGATAAATTGTGCTAAATTAAAATTGGGAACTTCTATTCATTAAAAGAAATCATGAAAAGAGTGAAAATGCAATCCACAAAAAAAGAGAAGATATTGACGGCACATGTGGTCTGACAAGGAACTTGTGTCCAAAACCTAAAACTTCTACAAAGCAATATAGAAAAGAGAGGCAAGCTAATAGTACACACAATTTTAACAGATATTCACAAAAAGAAAAAACTATCCAAATGGCCAATAAACATACGTGATGGTACTCAACTTCATCAGTCATCAGGGAAATGCAAATTAAAACCACAATGAGATACCACTACATACCCACCAGATGGCTAGAAGAAAAAGGCAAAAAAAAAAGTGTTAATGAGGATGTGGAGCCATCAGAACCCCTACACACTGCTGGTGAGAGCATAAAAATTGCTAAAATCATGTTGAAAAACTGAAAAATCCTGATTCCCTAGGTATTTTCCAACATATATATTCACCAAAAAACGAGTACTGGAAGTCTACAGAAGCACTCTTTGTAAGAGCCTCCAACTGGAAACTAGCCAAATGCCCATCAACAACAGAATGAATAGACTAGAGCGTATTCACACAATGAAAAACTTATACGGCAATGAAAATGAATGATCTACAACTAAGACAACACCATGGATGAATCTCACGGACATAATGTTGAGTGAAAGAAGTTAGACACAGAGGAATCCGCACTGCATGGTTCCATTCACAGGAAGTTCGAAACCAGGCACTAGTCTATGTTTTCGGGAGTTGGGGCAGGAGCTGCCTTTGGGGCAGCAATGATGGGGAGGAGCCGGAGGTGCTGGAGACAGTCACTTCCTCGGACTGGGTGCTAGTTACATGGGGCTGGTCAGTTTGTGAAAACGAAGACAGTTGTACACGTATGTGTAACTTTTTTAATGTATATTATACTTGAATTAACAAAAAAGACCAAAGATAGTTTTAGGATCTGGCATGGCTTGTGAGAGCAAAAAGCAAACTAGTAAACTCTTAGACTGATGACAGTTTAACCCCAAATAACCAATTTTCCCTCTCACATCCAAAACTTTTCACTTGCTTACCTGTAAAAACTTATTTAATTGATTCTTTGACTTTTCCATAAACTTTTGATCTATTGATTTGAAAGGCAGCTTGCTAAGAGAAGGCAACTGGACTTTTTTTAAAGAAGGGACACACTGTGGGGGAAAAAATTAAACATTAGTATTTTGAAATTACATTTTAATCTTAAAGATTGAGAATTGTATTTAGAACAAACCAAATATCTTCCTCCTGTACATGTTCCCCTGAGATTTAGGACCTTGAAAAGCGACCTGTTCTAATCAGGCTGAAAGAATCTGGGGGAATGGGATCTTTGGTGGAGAAAGTTAAAGCTCATTCCCAGACCTGCAGATACCCGGAAGCCGAGAAATAATGAAGCTGGGCTGACGAGACGGATTTGTACAACCTGCACAGTAGCACAGTGTGCTAGATCTAGAAACCCACTCACAGAGAATATTTCTATTAGAACGTGTTGTGTTTACAACATGTCTGTAAAAAGTTAAACAAAACAATGGAAAGAAAGAAACCTTGGGTTGTAGCTCTATTATTGCCTTTCAATAGCAAATTGTAGAATGTAAATATATTAATAATAATAAAATATATTAATAATAGACTGTCCTTTGTGGGTTAAATCCTACATTCTGCCAGACACTGCTAGAAGCAGGGCATGTGTTATTTCATCCTTAACAACAGCTCTATAAAATTCTAGAGAAGTGAAACAGGCAGTGAGATTTGGAAGGGAAGATTACAATCACTGGGGACCCAAAAAGGTGCTTCCTGTCACAGTTATCAGCAGGAAGCGTTCTCACAACAGGAAAACTCAAAGTGTAGGAAATATTAATAGCAACGGTAAGAGAAGAGTCTGGCCATCAATCCATGGAGGAGGAAAGATGACAATGAGGATACACATGGGCTTTTGTGTTTGTTTCTTCTAATGCGTCAGTGTGATTGTTTTGATTTTCTAAGTACCTCTTATTTTCCGAGTACGTTTTATTTCAAAATCATCCCTAAATTCCTTTTCCTCCTTCTGTTTTTATCTGCAACTTGACCAATACTAAACTTTGGTTCCACAATGGCTTATCACAAGGCAAACACAGGTTTCTGTAGTGTCAATTTTACTCAAAACTTTTGGGAAAAAGGCATTGTCACATTGAGATAAACATTTTGCTTTCCACACTGCTGGGGTGGACCAGAGTCCATCTGAGAAATGCTACAGTGTGCATGACATTTGGTTTTGGCCATCATCCCTTAGTGATTAAAAATCACCCTAGGAGACAAGGTTAAAGGAGACACATTTCATCTGCAAAAGAGGGGTCTGAGAGGTGATCATAGGGTTAGACCAGTGTCAGTTCATTCTGAGAAAGAGAAAAATGGACCTAAATTAAAGTAGAAATGATTGAAGACTTTTTCATTGCTGAGGTAAAGGGCAGTTACCCCCAGTAGGAGAATTAAAGAAGATGCAGTTACTGAGGAAAAGTGGGAAGAATAATAAAAAGTCAGATTCTAATCCTAACTTGGCCCCTATGTATACATCCTGTGATAAGTCAGTTACGCTTTGGGATCAGTTTCCTTCATCTATCAAATAAATGACCTACACTGTGGATTTCAAACATTTTAAACTAAAACCCACAGTAGGAAATGCATGTGTGCAACCCATAATGCACACACATATATACATATAAATATACAAAACCAAAAAAATACTCTATGAAACAATGCTCATTACCGCTACTACTAACAAAAACCACAATGGTTACTATGTGCCACACATTCTAAATGTTTTGTATATTAGACCTTAATCTTTACAACAACTCCGTGAGGTAGGTGCTATTAATATTTGTACTTCACTGATGAAGAGGCACAAAGAGACTGAGTGTCACCTCCCAGGTCATACAGTTATAAATGGTAGAGGTAAGATTCAAAGCCGAGCAGTCTGGCTTTAGAGATTGTGCTTTCAACCACCAGACTTTGCTGCCTCCCTTAGTATATGTGATGAAATCTAATATATTCTGTTCTCTTTCTATTGTTGTAACTCATGATTGATTTCACTACCCCTTTATGAGTCACAGCTGGCAGCTTCAAAACCACTGGCCCAGATGATACCTAGGTCTCTTCCAGCTCTGCGGTTCTATGGTAATTTACAATGAAAATCATACAATTACATGTTCTGACAGACACAGACTAGACTAGATGGTCCGATCTATGAATAAATTTCCAAATGTCAGGCTGAAAATGCCACTTTGCTAGTATCAACAGGAAAGGAGAAAAATTAATCAGTTTCCTCACATGTAAAAATTGAAATGAGCTCTTGAATCTCTTCTTGCTCAGTAATTCTAGAATCCTGTCACAAAGATTCTACCTCATGAGTATTCATACCTCACTAAGTTTCCGGTGTAAATTCTGAAACTCACTGAGTCTTCTTGGGACTGTCCAATTCTTAGTTTCAACTCCTCCAACTTCTTGTAGGCTTACCATGACAAAGTAACATGGCATTTGCTCACCACTCTCTTCTGTAATCTTGAAAAACAAAAGATGAAAATCAACAATGACAAAAAGTATGGATGCGCCAGGAAGGTTTTTAACAGTCCCCTGATGAGATTTCCCTCCCCCTGGTGCACCCTGTCTGGTGCCCTGTATAATCCTTGGAAATGTGACTATGATGACTTTTACTCTCACAATTCGGTTATGTTATACAGCACAGCAGACCTTAAAATAAGGGGATTATCCAGGTGAGCCTAACCTAAAAGCAGAGAGTTTCTGTTGTTTAGTATTAGAAAAGGAAGTCAGAAAGATTCAAAGCCCAAGAAGGAGGCCAGAAAGAATATAGAGAATTCGGTTCTACAACCACAAGGAACTAAATTCTGTCAATAACCTGAATAAGCTTGGAAGTGGATTTTCCTCAAAGTCTCCAGACAAGAACTCAGCCTGGCCAACATACTGATGTCAGCCTTGAGATACAATAAGCAGAGAACCCAGCCATCCTGTACTGGACTTCTGACCTACAGAGGTGTGAACTAATAAAGGGGTGTTGTTTTAAGCCATGAAATTTGTTAAACAGCAAAAACTGATATCACAGACTTTACATCCTGTGTTTCCCTGAAAAAACAAATTAGCAGCAAGCAAACAGGTATCAGATGCACCTGTGAGAGCTTCCTCAGTTTAATTTCAGGATTCATCAAACCATGATTTCTATTCTCATGAAATTTTACATTGAGAGACACAATTTTCTTTACCTCCCAACTTAGACAATTCACATACACACATACACGTGTACACACACACACAATTCAGAATAGGCCACCATTAACATAAATAGATAAGTGAAAAAACAAACAGAAAATACATTGAATTTGAGCTTGAATTAGTATCATAAATCAACTACAGAGAAAAATTCAATACAAAAAGCAAAGAAAAGATGCAAGATTTACTGAGCCCCTGACAAGCCCTGTGAGGCAGGAATATTATTCCACTATAACAATGGGAAGGAGAGGCAGAGACAGGGTAACTTTCCTAGGACCTCACTTCCAGAGAGTCAGCCAGGGCCACAATTCAGGAGTCTGGCTCGATGAAAACGCATCTTCCACACAATCCTCTGTGGTATTGCTCTGTGAGCTCTGGCAGGCATGTGACACCTCTGTTTACATTTCCGTTATCTTTTCAGTGACCAAGATACCACAGCAAGCTCATGAATAACAAGTGACTTCCAGGGCAAAGTGCCTCATGAGGGTATGTATTCCCCCCCTCCCCACCTTCCCTCCTAAATGAAATCATTTTTATAGACAAATGAAAAGGGATACAGTATATTCTGCAAACTTATCCCACATCCCTCAAAGAATAGCAAAATAATTCAAAGGAAAAATATTTGTTATTAAAGCTTTTAGAGCTACTGAGATTTAAGCAATTGAAGTCAGCAGGATGGAACAATCACATGCACTTAAATTTTCAATCTTTCATCTCCAAGTTTCAAAAAGCACTTTTCATTTTATTCCAGCTCTCAATGGAAAAATATATTGGTAATTCAAGAATATTAAATGTTCCTATACAAAAGTTGTTTACAATTCTGGTGAAGAAGGATAACTACCTGTCTGAAGTGGAGTGAGATCAGATCTACCAAGCAGCCTAGTATAGCTCCCAGTCATGGGCGAACTGGAGTGAAAACATGGGGGATGGCCGATAGGACAAGTGTGGTCTAAAAGAATGAGTTTAAATTTCTATACTCAATCTTAATTCTCCAGGATAAAATTTTATCTTACAAACTCAAACTTTTAAAATAAATTGGGAGGAAAAGCAGTCAAACCTACCTCTCCACTGGTGATGGACGCTTTCCACATGCCTAGGTTTTCGCACCACCAATCTGTTCTTGCCATGTGCAGCTGAAGGTCTGTGCGTTCTTTCTCTATTAGAATTATTTCATCCTTCAACTTGGAAACAATCTGCCACAGGAAAAACATCCTGGGAATTATGAAAACACTTACAATGCTATGCAATTCAGCAAAGTAGCAGGATACAAAATCAACACACGAAAATCAGTTGTGTTTCTATACACTAACAATGAACAATCCAAAAAGGAAATTAAGAAAGCAATTCTATTTACGATAGCATCAAAAAGAATAAAATACTTAGGGATTTCTATAATAAAATATTTCTATAATAAAAACTATAAAACATTGATGAAAGAAATTAAAGATGACAAATATTTGTAAGGACAACCAAGTTCATAGATTAGAAGACTTACTATTGTTAAGATGTCAATAGTACCCAAAGCAATCTACAGGTTCAACGAAATCCTTATCAGAATTTCAGTGGCATTTTTTGCAGAGATAGAAAAATCTATCCTAAAATTCATACAGAGTCCCAAGGGATCCCAAATAGCCAAAATAGTTTTGAAAAAGAACAAAATTGGAGGGCTCACATTTCCTGATTTCAAAAACTACCACAAAGGTATAGTAATCAAAACAGTGTGGTACCAGCATACAGAAAGACATAGATCAATGGAATATAGCCCAGAAATAAAATCTCATATATATGGTCAAAAGATTTTTCAACAAGGGTGCCAAGACCATTCAATGGGGAAAGGACAGTCTTCTCAACAAATGGTGCTGGGAAAACTGGATATCCACATGCAAGAGAATGAAGTTGGACCCTTACCTAACACCATACACAACAATGAGTTAAAAATGAATTAAAGATCTAAACATAAGAGCTAAAAACTATAAAACTCTTGGAAGAAAACATGGGAGAAGGCTTCATGACTTTGGATTTGGCTATTGGATTTCTAAGCAACAAAAGAAGAAATAGACAAACGGGTCTTCACCAAAATTTAAAACTTTATGCACCAAAGAACACTATCAACACAGTAAAAAGGCAAAACCACAAAATAGAAGAAAATATTAATATTTGCAAATCACACATCTGATAGAGGTTTAATAGCCACAGTACAAAGAGAACTCCTAAAATTCAACAACAAAAGACCCAATTAAAAACTGGGCCAAGAACTTGAATAGACATTTCTCCAAAGAGGATACATGACTAGCTAATAAGCACATGAAAAGATGCTCAACATCAATAATCATTAGAGAAATGAATATCAGAACACACCCATTAGGATGACTGCTATTTGAAAAAAAAGAAAGTGAGTTTTGGTGAGGATATGAAGATACTGGAACACTTGCGCACTGTTAGTGGGAATGTAAAATGGTGCAGACATTGTGGTAAACAGTATGATGGTTCCTCAGAAAATTAAAAAAAAAAAATTACCATGTGACCCAGCAATCTACTTCTGGGTATATACCTAAAAGAATTGGAAGCAGGATCTCTAAGAGATATCTGTACATCCACATTCATGCAGCATTATTCACAACAGCCAAAAGGTGGAAGCAAATCAAGTGTCTATTGATGGATGAACGGTAAACAAAACAAAATGTGGTATGCACATGGAACGAAATATTAGCCTTAAAAAGGAATGAAATTCCAACACATGCTACAATAGGGATGAACCTTGAAGACATCAAATGAAATAAGCCAGTCACAAAAGAACAAATACTGCATGGTTCCACTCATATGAGGTACTTGGAATAGTTAAAGTCATAGAGACAGAAAGCAGAATGGTGGCTGCCAGGGGCTGGGGAGGGGGCAATAGGGAACTACTGCTTAATGGGTACAGAGTTTCAGTTTTTCATGATGATGAAAGTTCTGGTGATGGATGGTGCTTATGGTTGCAAAAGAATGTGAATGTACTTAATGCCACTGAACTGTACACTTAAAAATAGCTAAATGGTAAATTTTGTTATGTATATTTATCACAATTTTTAAAAAGAAATAATTTTTTTAAAATGCTACGCTCACCATCTCCTTGGATTTCTTTTTGTGAGAAAAGCTATAGGGTTATATAACTTTGTAGTTTGAGGAGGACAACAGCTTTGCTCCAAAAGTCTCTGAACGTGGAGTCTACAACATCTTTTTCCTTCCCCAGAAAGCCTAACAGGAACCACTCCTTATCTGTGCCATCATCCTGTGTTTTATCACCAATAAGGACTGTGATTATATTTTATTTTCATATGAGTATGTTTCAATTCCACAACCAACATGTCTGCTCCTTGAGGGCAGGTATCAGACTCTGTTTCGTTGATTTTTCACAGTGACTAGCACAGCATTGCACATTTACTCAACATGTCTGTTACTGAGATTCTTCATGGTTATTGGTTTACTCCCAACATTAACCTAGAATTGGACCATTTGCTCCAGACTCACAAAAATCTCTGTAGAGAAAAAAATAAAACCTGGGCAGTAGATTTCAAGAAATCAAACTAAAAGGCTAACTTGACATTTGGTAGCTAATTTCGCTGCTGGTGCAGGATTTGTGAGAGAAGAAGGATGGTCAATCAAGCCCCTGGCTTTCCTTTTTTAGGGGAAGAAGTCTGTACCACTATATATACATGGGAAGATGATTTCATTAATAATTAGATATTTAATCCAGAAAAGTCCTTCTACTACAAAATTGGGGGGGGGGGTATGTCTTCATTGCTAGATTACCAAAACCTTTTCATGACCAATCTTAAGTTTTTAAAAAAATTAACTAATTATTAACTTTTTACCAACATGAATAAAAGGCATAAAAGGAGGATGATGTCTCCTTCTGGAGAGAAGTATCAGTTCCCTTATAGCCTTAGGGTCCTCTGAGCTCTGTATATAACTGCCAGAAGCAGAGTGCTCCCTTGAGCAGCCTGTGAACAATCTGATTTAATGGGAAAGGTGGATCAGAGATTAGTGGTCAAATTAAGCCACAGTATCACTGAATCTCTCTAAATGAGAATTCTTTCACATAGTTATACCTCAAAATGTTTATTCCATGATTATCATAAGTTCTTTTAAGAGAGGCTGATGTCTTTCAACCAAACAGAAAATAATTCAATGAACATCCTGTAGCTCGTCTTTCATACTGTTACCCATAAAAACATTTTAGTTTATAAGATGAATCCAGAATAAACAAGACAACTGTTCTTAAAGAACATGCCATATTGCAGATACTGATTATCTACCATGCCAGCTAATTCTGTTCATCATCTCAAAGATGCTTGTTCTTGTCCCTACGGAGACCGTGGGTCTCCCAAGTTCTATGTGTACTAACCGGGAATGACTCCACATAATGGAGAGAGTGAACCTATTTCTTATGACAACCCAGGAAACCTGGCTATTTGTTTTCAGAGTATGACTAACAATTATTAAAGTGACTTTAACATTAAACTTCCATTTCCTTCACAATTCTGTAAAAAGATTGCTACTAACAAAGACCATATGCCTTTGTAGAACTTTTTTCTTTGTTTTTTCTTTTTTAAAGAAAACGTACTTGTTTAACTAGACAATAACTGGATTACAAATGAATAGGTATTTTAACTATAAATTGTTGATAGGCTCATAGTACATCATTTTCCTTACATCTTGCTTCAGGAATATTCTCTTACTACATAAGCATCTGAATGTCCATGAAAGAAGTACTAAAGATGGTTTAAAAGGATTGGGGACATGTTCACAGGAAACCCAATTGTGACTCACTGAAATTGTTTTATTCAAAGTTGCTTTCCTGTTGGACTGCTTGAAACCCTCAAATACACATTCAGAAAGTGCCAGAAGAGACCAATTTGGCAGATCAAGAGCATCATCCACATCTCTATTAGAGACACCTCTTCGTTGAACTCTAAGGACGCATAAACACAAAGCAAAAAGCCACACCACAGCTTGGGTTTTAGAAATGCCAATTAGTGAGATGATCTTTACATTTTTAAACTTTCAAATCCTGCTAGCTTTTAGAAAAACAATTTCTTTCTTGCATAATTCTGTGAGGTTCTCTAAATTGTACTTGTAGAAATTGAGAGAAAAATTTTTTTTCGAAAGATTGTCCTTGAGAATTTAACTCACTTCCAGAAATGACTTTAGCATAAGAGAAAGCTTAACCCCATTCCCCAAAGGCGCTGCAGGCAAGCCTAACGCAAGGAACACAGAGTTCCAGTGGATGACTGACAAAGAACTCCAAATCATAAAAGATTAAAAACAAATGCTTTCTAATTCCATTCTAGAAGCAAAAAAAAAAAAAAAAAACAATGGAACTTGCTCACAGTTAAATTATTTTTAAAGAAACTGACACTTCTCAACAGAAACTGAAAACTTTTCTACAAAATTAGACAAATGGAAACTTTCAAAGACAACCTTGAAAGCAAAAGTTACCTTCTTGTCAGGTTTTGGTGCATTTTGAATAGAATTTAGAGCTTGCCTTTTATATTCAAGTTTCTCATTTAGTTCTCGTAGCTTGTTTACAGCAAAACTGGCTTGTTCATTAATCCGACTGGTACCTTCATCTACAGTTTCCTCACCAGCCTCACATCCTGAACCCTGTGGGGAAAAAGTCACATATCACCATTATCCTATAATGATAGAAAATTTAGCATTACCTACTGTATAGATTCTGTATCATTACAATACACTGTTCCAAAGTAAGAAAAGAATACCGAAATAGGAAGCTTAGAGGCAGACAGCTTTTTCTCAGCAAAGAGAAAAATCAAAGTATTTGGAACCAAAAAAACTGGTAACCAGAATTACACTAAAAAAGGAAATATTTAATAGCCTAAAGAAAGGGGGGGGAAATCCCATGCCATTATTAATTACCCAACTGGTATATCCATGGAAATCTACATGGAACATGGGAAGGCAACTGAGTTATCTTCTCAACTCCACCTGAATATTCTATACCTAATCTTTGACAAAGACACCGAGATTTGGCTTCTTTCCAGTCTCCTAAGAATATAAAACTCATGTAAGTCCCTTTAAAAAAAAACTTTCCAAATTCCCACCAGTAAGAGTATTTTCAGTATATACTTTCTTCAGTCCTTCTCTTGAAGATGTATTTTACAAATCAATAGGTAGATTATTTTATAAGTAAAATAGCTAGCATTTGAAAGTGACTTAAGATTTGCAAAGAACTTGGAAAAATCTGGATTATCAAACAGCATATTCATTAAATTCAAGAACAGCAGCAGTATGCAAGGCACTGAAAAGAACTGCTGAGAAACATTTCCTGGTTTGTCTACTCCTTATATAATCTTTCTTCCAGAATTTTTTCTTCTAATTTTTATCAATTGCAACAAACATTAGATTTTTTTTCAAAGAAAAATAAAGTATTGATAGTCACAAAAAACAAGCTGTTTTCATTTTTGTATGTTCTTTCTACTTGTCTGTAAGTATATACATAAGGACATAATTCTATACCTTGCATTCATTTTCATATATATTGCTGGGTATTGAGGGTATTATAGTCTTAAAAATTATAGTTTTTATGGCCGCATTGTGTTCTGCTGCACTGATAATATACTGAGGCATATTCCTATTGATGCTCTTGCTATGGGGTTGATTCTGTTTTTTTGTTATCCCAGATGTACTAAAACAAACTCCATCATGTGTAAACCTTTTTTCCATAATTATTTGCTTAGGCTAAGTTTCCAGAAGTTCCCATATCTAGAGATTATTTGAACAAAGAGTTAGGAGTTCTCAAAAGTTCAGTAATATATATTAGCCTTCTTTGAACCCTGGGGGAAGGTAGACATTTTTTCATGTTTGCTTACTGTTACCTCTCAAGTCAATGGTTAGTTCAAGTCCTTATTCAGTTTATCTGTTGGGTATAGGTGTTTTTATTAATTTGAATAATCTCGTTTACAGCATTTGCTGTACTGTTAACCATTTTAAGTTCTGAAGTAGAGAGATAACACAGTTAAAACAAACTGTGACCTATCAAAAATACAATGCAAGAAGTAGGGATTTTTGGACCAATCACAGTTCAATGATTTTACATGTAAAAAACCAAGTCACAAAACTTTTTTTAAAAAGTCTAAATGAAAATCACACAATCAATAGTTCAGAGATTGCAAGCTGACTTCTAATACCATGAAAAGAGCAAGTACTTGATTCCTTAGGATTAGAGATACAGTGAACTGGGCAGAAAGAAAAAACCCAAGATAATTATAACATTTCTATGTAAGATGATTAAAAAACCTTTGTTTTTCTTCACATAAATCTTACAAGCTCTTATAAGCCACTCATAGTAAATGACAGATGGCGACTAGAGCTATCCAAAATGATCAAGTATACTACAGGAAAACTAAAGTATGGTTGAGCAAGGTTTCTTTCAGAGCATTTTAATTGCGTCTGATTTTTTTAAACTTCAAAATATTTCTTATAACTCCACCCACATTCCCTTTTTTGCCTCGTTTTTCCTCCACCCCTTCTCTATTCTGGGGCTGGATTACTGTCCTACAGGTTCTCTTAGCTGATCTAAGCCACAAATATCCCACCCCACAGACTTTCCACCTCACTTTTTGAGAGTCAAAGTAGGAGTGTGTCTAAAACAGACAGAGGGCGGGAGGTCTCTGACTCAATGCTGGCAGGCGGTAGCAAGTAGGTCAGAAGGACAAAAAAGGGAAGAAAGAAGTACGTAAGAAGCAGCAAAGTAATTCAAGTTTACTTCTTACTTGATTTAAAGTCCTGTATATTAAAAGATGAAGGTGTACATCAAATTTGGCTCATACAATATGAGCACATCTCATCACCAGCTTATCCACTGAAAAGGGAACAGAAAGTTAAATGTGACTCACCGTTTCATCCTTATTGGGAGTCAGCCGTGAGGCATGTTTTTCTTCCTCTTTCATCATTAATTTCTCATA